CCTTGTTGCAATTACGACATCTTATTTGGGTCAGCGTAGACAGAGCGAGAGAGAGCGACTGTGTGTGTGCGTGTGAGTGTGGTAAAGAGAGTGTGCGCCTGTCAGTGAGATAATGTGTGAGTGAGTGAGTTGACAAGTGTCTGTCGCACGTGTGAGCTTAAAAGCGCAATGCATTGCGTTTCGAGGCCAAGTGTCAGGCGTGTATGAAAGGCAAGGATGCTGCGTTTAACACTTCCCGTCGTCGTCGACGCCTTCAAGTAGGTGTGGCATTTAAGTGTCGCTGTGAGCCAAGAAATTGACTTCAATTAATGTGGCCAGATAGACGCAGCCAACTAATCTCATCTAATTAGCTGACAAATGCCAAAGGCCACCAAATCCTGTATGTTGTTGTTGAGGCTTTGCTTTTCCTGCTTTTATGACGCAATTAAAATGCTAAATGTTTTATGACAAAGCGCCTGTGGGGGGGGACACTTTAATTAATTTGTCGGCCATGAAAGGTGTTAAAAGCAAGGACAACAAGCCAGCACCTACTGCTGCTACTTCTACTGCTGCTGCTTCTTCGCGTTGTTGTTGTTGTTGTTGTTGTTGGTGTCGTTGTTTTCTGTTGTACTTTAACGCTTGACCCAGACAAGAGAGACACAGCAGACAAGAGCCGCATTCACTTTAAGCGCGGCGCGTGTACAGGCTGAAAGCACAAATCCCCCTCTACACGTCCTCCTCCTACACACAGTCACAGTCAGTCACAAGCCTTGCCACGCCCCCCACTCAACCAACACCAAGATTATGCAGCTTATATGAGAGGCAAGCGCGTGGCTCGGCTTCATCCTGTGCGGCAAAGGCTGGCTTGTAATCATGTTGCCTTGTTTTTTAGCTGACACAAGATGAAATGTGCGGGCTGCTCGAAGCAGAGGAGGCACCAGTCAACGGCAACGCACGCTGCGGTCCTGTCATGCTCTCAAAGAGCATAAAACGCCAGCTAAGCACATTCAGACAAGCATATGAATCGAGCGACTGGCAACTGCGCCGTTTAGTTGACTCAAAGATGTCCTGCGACGATTGCATGAACTGAAACTTAAGGCGAGCTTAAGTCGGAAAATTAAATTATCTAAGAATTATGTTTCATGGTTGTCTTTTAAAAACCAATAAACAAATGGAAATTACAGCATAAACGATTCTCTAATCAAATATCTGTTTCAGTAGAGGAATTAATTAATTCCTTTTCTAATACAGAGCTCTCTATGGCACCGGTTTCTTGATATAGGACTGTATGTTTATCATCGAAAACAAGCAGAACTAGTAAAGATATTGCAGGTATATCATCACGTAGAGTTCAGTTCATCGTATAGATCAGAATGTAGAGCATAGCTTTATAGCTTGTATAGCCTTAAATAAAAAACAATTTTAGCTTATAGACTTCATACCACTTCGCTCTAAGTTTTTTAAATTATTTACGTACATCTCTAGCGCTCTTGACATTTTATTCTTTCGCTTTCCAACACTGGCACAAGTGTGTTGGCCCGTAGCGCAAGAGCGGGCCTCACTCAAGTATTTCTATTGCCGCAGGTAGCAAACAAAATTCTTGTTGCATACACAAGGGGGCAACATGAGGTCGCATTTGATTGCTGCTGCTTTTGTCTGTGACCCCTTGCTGACCCACACTAACTCCCACCACCACCATAGCCCCCACCCCCTTTCCCAACAAGGAGTTATGAATTATGCAAAGAGGCAGCTGCTCCTTTTGCCTGGGGTCCCATCAAAATAGAATACGCAGACGTGTTTTTTTTCTGTGCGCCTTGGGAGCTGAGCCAAATCAAAGATCTTATCACAGATTCATTAAGCTATATATATATATGTATATAGAGTGAAAATACTAGATGCATTGCATACAAAGTATAACAAATGAAATAAAACGGCGTGAAAAAACTCATAAATTAATTCAAACAAATTCTCAACATTTCTGCAAGGCACAAAAAAAAAAAAAAAAACTTTACGTTCAAGTAAAAATTGTGAATTTTTGTAAACAGAAACAGAAACAGAAACACAACGAAGCGAAGCGAAACCGAGCGGAATAACAACAACAACACTAACAATCGAAACAACAATTAACAACAACAATCAATAGAATGAACCATAACAAATCGAGATGACGACGACATTTCGTTTATAGCATCATCTCAAATAGCAACAACAGCAACAACAATAACAACACACTCGATGCATGCAACGCGTGCTGTCTGTTTTACTTAAATTCAGAATAAATATCGACGATACAAAGATAAAGGTATATACATATGTATAAACATATATAAACTTATCTATTTAGCATAGCTATGCACTGAGCTAGCCAAAAGTAAATCCTATTGCCCGGGCTATTTCAACAAAACAAATAAAAGCTAGCATAGATTACCTAGATACTCAGTAGAAGACATATATATTTAGTAGCATATACTTCATTTCGTTTCCCTATGTCCATACCACATACAACTATATTTTATACCATACCATACCATATCATACAAATTTGTAATCTATAATATGTTATTATCGATTTGTTTTTAGATATGCCCAACTATAGTCGACAACGAGTTTTACTGAAAACCAAATGTAGCTAAATCAATATACTCTTCCCATTTACCAATACATTTCATAAGTCCAGGGTATACGATAAAATAACAACACAGACGACATGATCGCAACGCAACGAATGCGAACTGAGAGACATGCCCTGCCTGGCGGCCTAGTCCGTCGATCGGTTGGACGTTCGGTCGGTCGGTCGGTCGGTCACTTAGTCTGTCGCTCGTTTGTCTCACATACGAAATAGATTTTCAATAAAAACCCACTCGAAAAACGCCAACAATGGCGCACAGAAACGCATTGCGATCCATTCCTCGATCTATTTTCGAGCCCAAACAAATGTATTTCTAAAATTACAACAAATTTTTGCAAACTAGAAGGAAGACTAAACTATGTAGGGAATTACAGTAATAATGCGTTTGATATAAAAACTAGATATGAGCATAGGAATATGTTAATATCATAATGATAAATGCTCATAAGGTGACGTAGAGTTAGCATACCTTATAACTAGCCTATAGGACTTTAAGTTTTTAATAAAATAGTAGAATGGTCTGGTACGCCCCAACTGCGGCACACAAGTCCTTCCAAAGTAATTTAGGATTCTTATGGAAAGTGTAAATGGCGTAAACCAAAATAATAAATTAAAGCTTGACAGAGTTGCCACAAGATAAATTAGTCAGCTGACTAGTGTTGCCACCTTTCAAGAATTTTGGCTTAGTTTCTAATAAAATGAACAATAAATGATTAATAATTAAATAAATCACAAAAATGACAGCAAAATGTAGGGCAACTCTATCGTCTATAGTCTACAGCTCGAAAATAATATTCAATTCAGTTAGTTATGTGTGTTAACAGAATAAACAGATCAATTTTATAATTTTTTTTTTTTTTTATTTTAAATGCTTTTGGTTTGTGTACGTTTTATAGTTGCAGATGTATTTGGATGAAAATTCAGAGATTTCTGGTTAAAGTTAGTATTCGATAACAATCCATTCCTACCATCTAATTGGGAAATGTTCAGTACCGCCCCGAGAGGTTCGTATATCGATGAGCGCATCAGCAGGACCTATTGCAAGGATGTGCTCCTCGCCAATTGGCAGGAGCTGCGCCTGGGCAGTCAAGAGTTGAACGATTGCGTGACGCCAGGACTGAAAAAAGTCAATGCCTGCATACGGCACAAATCAGAGGCACAGGATAGCTACGTGCCGCCCCATAAGTTGGAGGAGCCCACTCAAACAAAGCGACAATTTCTGGCGGCGCGCAACGAATCGCTGCACAATTTCAAACGGAATCGATCATCGCAATTGTGCTTCAACTTGGACGAGGACATGGTCAATAATTATACAACCACTTACAACATAATGTTCGATATTCTGCCCAGGCAGGCGAAAGAGGAGAAGGCAACGATGCCCGTGAATGCATCCATTGTGCCGAGCCGACCCGAACAACGGGATCTGATGCTCAGCTACGGCAATCGCACCAAGACGGGCAGCCGCTGCCGGCTTATGGCTGACATGTACCTGGATAAGTTGCAGCGCTTGCAAACAACTTATGCGGCAGAATATGAACAGTATGCAACGGGCTTATCGGACTAGTAATTCACCCAAATGTACAAAATTTCACAATTAAATATATAGATGCTTGGTAATATTCAATGTTTGGCTTCGCATTAAAATTTATTTTACTCACCATTTTCAGTTCTGCTGCCCATTGGATATGCTACAGCAGGCGCTTTGCAGCACACGGGCATTGTGTTGTGTGCAACTATTTTCGACTGCTGCTGTTGTATTTATTTCTTGCCGGCTGCTGTTGCTTTTAACACACACGTCTTTTTATTTAATTTGCTAAGCACACGAAATGTTTTTATAAATTGCACAAAGAAATTTTTTCTTTTACGCTTGACATGCAAGTGTTGCAAAATTCTGGCGTATTTTATGCAAACAGCTGGGGTAGTGCTACAAGGGCAAGCGATAACTATCGATAGCTAGCAGCAGTGCAAAATGTACTCATTGTCTAACACTAGTGCTCCTCACTCCACAGCCCTAACAGCAGGGATTTTTTGCATTTGCAAGTGCAGTTACAATTTCTGTACATTAACAGTATGGGGATTTTTATTTGATATTTGGGCGCGCTATTTGAAATATTTACTTTAAAACCCCAATTATATTCACGTGATTTATGTTTTTAACATATATTTCGAGCATGAGCGTTAACAAAATAGTTAATGGCATATTTAAAATAAGGCTGGTTGACTTTTTGGTGCCTTTTAAAGCGAGTGCAGCAACATAATTTCAATCTTAAGTGCGCGGTGCAGTGTTTTTTTTCCAACTTTAAATATATATAGAATATACTCTATATATATATAGGTGGTACGGCAGTTACTTAAATTAAATTTGTTTCTATGGAATACATGATTCAGTTCGTTCTAGATCGCTTTTTATACGTATCATAATTCGTATTCTCTTCACATACAATAATTTATTTAGGATTTCGAATAATTCAGTTTTTTGTGTGTTAATTTCCTCACTTTTTGCTTAATTAGTTAATAATCTTTACTGCTTTGCATATTTTACTCATCTGAATCGTACGTGTGGTACCTCGGCTTTGTCACATGTGGTTTTGTTCAATTTGTTGTTGATAGATTTCCTTCTGTATTTATCTAAACTAGCTCCAGACGCTTCATCTCCTTGAACAGCTCGTAACCCATCTTGGCAGGACTTCTGGTAACAATAACGCCAGCCTTTTCAAGAGCGGCAATCTTATCGTTGGCACCGCCCTTGCCACCCGAGATGATGGCACCGGCATGACCCATGCGACGTCCAGGTGGAGCCGAAACACCAGCAATGAACGAGACCACCGGCTTGGCCTTGATGCCCTGCAAACGATGAAAGAACTCGATTAGTTTGTCTTGGAGATTGGAAATGAAGATTAGCTTTCTTTACCGTATTGAACTCCGTCAAGTAATCAGCAGCCTTCTCCTCAGCCACACCGCCGATCTCTCCAATCAAGATGATGCCCTTCGTTTCGGGATCCTTGAGGAACACATCGAGGCAATCGATGAAGTCGGTGCCATTGAACGGATCACCGCCAATGCCGACGCACAGCGTCTGGCCCAGACCCACCTCCGTGGTCTGGTGCACAGCCTCATAGGTGAGGGTGCCCGATCGGGAGACGACGCCAATCTTGCCACGCTTGTGAATATGGCCGGGCATAATTCCAATCTTGCACTGCAAAATGCAACTGAATTTAATCAAACTGTGATCATATATATTTATATGTGGATACAAATTGATAAAGCCGTTTGCCGAGTCCAAGAGATAGGCGCAAGCAAACAAAACTAATAAAACAGTGTTTGCTCGCTATGACAAACTTGCTTCATAATAGTCAACCGAATTTGAACAATCTAGATTACTTCAAGTCTAACTACAACTGAGTCGCCTGTTTTATACCCTGTTTAGCAGTTGAGTGATTGAAACTTAGGCAGATGACCTCTAAACTGACACTGAGGGCAGCTGAGCAATAGCTAAAGAACTAGAAAGGAAAATAAATTGTTATAGAACTAGTAATATGATCTATACAATTCATGCAACTACAGGGTATTTAACACAGTTTGAGTGAACCTTGGACTTTACACTTAGGCTTAGGACATTTGCATTTCAAACAAGTTTTTAGCCTATATCCCCTCCTTCTACAGCAATGTAGGGCATACCGAACAATAAATTGTGATTTCCTTTAGACACGCCCATATTCCAGTTTGCAGTTTTTCAAAATACCCCCCGTATAATTTTTATCAGAGTATATAATGTAGTCATTGGGGAAAATTTCCCTAAAAACAATTTCCCTTTTGTTTGTTTTGGTTTTTTGTTAAAAAAAAAATATTTCTAGTAGGGCATATAACGTAACAAACCCAACGACCGGCAAGCCAATCGAAAGTTCTGCTTGAATTCGTCTTGCGTGAACTTTGCACCCTGCGCTTATCTCCCTTATCTCTTGAGCGGCCGTCTTCAGGCATCAGATCATGTTTTTATTACTGCTTGAAAAACGAACCTGTTCGGGCGCGATGATGCCGGGGCAATTGGGTCCGACGAGGCGCGACTTGTCCTGGCTGACCAGGGCATGCTTCACCTTGACCATGTCGTGCTGTGGCACACCCTCCGTGATGCACACAATCAATGGAATTTCAGCGTCCAGGGCTTCCATGATGGCAGCGGCAGCGCCGGGTGGTGGCACATAGATGACCGTGGCATGGGGATCCGTTGCCTTTTTGGCTTCCGCAACGGAGGCAAAGACGGGCAGGCCCAAATGCGTAGTGCCGCCCTTTTTGGGTGAAATGCCACCAACGAGCTTGGTGCCATACTCCAGCGCCTGCTGGCTGTGAAACGTTCCCTGTTTGCCAGTGAAGCCCTGACAGATAACACGGGAGTCTCCAGTCAATTTCAGATTTCCGCGCGTCTTGTTGTACTGCGAACCACAACGTACGCTGGCGGTGAAGCCATCTAAGAAAGGGGAATGCAAATATAATTGTGAATTTCCCAATTAACAATTTCCCTTTTGTTGTTTGTTTTGCTTTTTTTCGGGTCACATGCGAACCTTGAACATGGCCCACTCACATCTCTAGCTCTGCCCCCTTCACATATGTACATTTAACACACATACATATGCATTCATATGCCGCAATTGCAGCCACGTCGTTTTCACTGCTAATCAGCATTCAATTTTTCCAATTAATACATCCCAATAAGAAGCAGCTGCTACTTGTTGCCGCTATTCTGATTGAATGTAGCTCTATGTGCAGTAAATTGCACATAAGTTATATAATTTTACACACACATAAAAATGTTTCGCAATAGGTATTTTTTCATTGGATTTTTTCTTTACTTACCTCGTACTTTCAGCAGCGCTCTCATTGAAGCAGCCATTATTTGGTATGTGTGCTTTTGTTGTTGCTGTCGCTTGTGCGAAATGAAGCTGTGCAGCTTATTGTTTAAAACGCGTTTAATTAGTGCAAACGACGGCGACGGCACACGGATCCTCAACACGATGTATCGCCTCGAGCGCAGCGATACATCGATTAACACAGGTGTCTTTGGCAATCGTTAAAAACACATCTCTATTTGACGATAGGTGTACCAATATCATTTACTTACCATAAAAAATTGTTTTAAATATTTAAACAATAAATGACAAACGATTTTTTTAAGAAATTTACTCCAAATACAAATAATAATAACGGTCGATTTGAATAAAAAAAATTTATTTTTTTGTTTTCTACTCAACCTTTACTTTAAAAGAACTAAAAAAGGATACTATTAAATTAGTTGCACTTAAATATATTGCCTCACTTTAGACATACACGCCTAATACAAGATCATTGATTTAAATACTAAGACAAAACTATTAAAATCTGATGACAAAACTTGTTTCAAAAATACGTTTTAAAAACTGTTCCTAAGGCCGTAATGTTAATAATTTCAATTAGTTGCTTACTTTTTGTTTTTAGTAACGGAGGGCTAAATGTCGCATCAAGTCTTTGCTATATAGAAAAAGGACCATTTAAGAACATATTGCTTGACTTTAAAATAAATTAATTGAACAGATTTTCACTCGATTGCGGCTCAGCTGGCAGTTCTGGGGGATCTGCTTGATCCGCGTCTTGCTGACGATTAAATGCATTCTCCTCGCCCTTCTTCAGGCGCTGATAGACCAGTATGCTCTTACCCGTACGCGGTTGCACGTGCTGCAAGAGAGACGCGACATTAGGCAGTTGCGTTCCCAGTGCTGTGGACAAATCCTGCAGCAAAGGTGACTCAACCCATTTCTTTACCTCGGCGTGCTCGATACTGTACAACAGCTTGTAATTAATCAAGAAGTCGGTGATCTTCTTCTCTAGCGAATCAAAGAGGACCACATGGGAAGGCTGTGCAGTGATGGGATGAACGGGTATATGGGATCGCAGCCAGTGCATGGGCGCCTCAAAGAAACGATCAGCCTCATCTATGAAGTTTTCTTGCTGCTCCAAATTGGGATTGCAGGTGAGGAAGCGCATGGTGACATTCTCATGAATGTGGCTGCAAAGGGAGAAGGCAACGATCAATAAGCTGATTTCTATAAATAATCTTCAGGACCAACCTATAATAGGGCGTCGAGTGGCAAGGCATAAGGAAGAGTATATTAGCGCGTTGTTCGCGCTCGTCACGATAATCCCTAGCAATCTCCTGCAGCTTGGGCATCAGCTCAATGGGTCCCTTCTGATGCACCGTGCTCAGATACCAAGCGGGCACCACATTGCCCAGCAGAATAACTAAAGCGGCTGCCCAGAGTTGAGTTCGCGAGGCGCGGTAGCTCCAGCGGGACAGAGACTCCGCACAGACATACAAACACAGCGGCAACAGTGAAGTCACAAAACGGAACTCCTTGTGCTCCACCGTGCTGAGCACTACCAGCGTAACCAAAATGCTGATCAAGAGCTGCTTGCTCACTGGCTGCCGGTCGCCCTTGCGTACGGTCTCCATGATGCCATAGATAAAGGGTAGCGTATTAATGCCCAGCACTGTGGGCAGACCCACTGTGAAGTACCAATACCAAGGATGCGATCCATAGAAGCTGCCAATGTTGTGTAGAATATTATACTTGAGGAACTCCCAAGGCGTCACAATCAATTGGCCATGCCAATAGGTGTCAATAGCAATTCCAACGCCAGCCACAAACGCGCTGAAAGCAAAAGAGTAGAGGAAATTAGCCATATATATTAGCTAGGATATATGATTATACATACCCAATCAGTACAAAGTGCTTCAGGATCAGCTTTAACGGAGGTTGTCTCGTCTTGCGCAGATGATAAATCACCAAGGGCACCCAGATCACAGCCGCAGTCGGACGTAAAAAGCAACAGATTGCAGCAGGCCACAGGTAAGCGGAGCCCTCGCCAATCCAGGGGAAGTAGCTGAGGGCGATGGTGGTTAGCGACGCCTCCAGCGTGTTGGCCAGCGTACGTGAGCCGGTGTAGAACCAGAACCATGGCACAAGGATTAGGAACAGCGCCCACTTTCTTTTTCCAGTCCAGACATAGAACCGATAATCCGAGTAGGCGGTCAAAGTGGCTTGCAGCAGGCGTGGCAGCAGCACCAACAACTGGGCGCTGTCCAACTGCAGCAGAGCCAGCAATTTATAGATGCCCGCTATAATCAGCGGATAAACATAACTGCGTATACCCTGCACCCACTCCCATGTGAGGTAGCCATAGCTGCAAATGTGAAAAGCAAATTTGTAATTTATAGCATTACAAATGAGCGCGTGTTCCACTCTCATGTCATTCCACTCATGTAACCAAGCGAAAACGAGTTGTATTGAGTCATACAACATAACACGCGCTCATCCCTAGTTTCGACCTCACGCAGTCCTGCTTACCCGAATGTCAGCTTGTGGGCCACCTCCAGGCTCTGCCAATACTCGTCCGGCACATAATAAGTCTGGACAACGAATACCGATGCTATGCGCACCGCCAGTATCAGCGCGAAGACGTACAGTAGCCTCATGGCATCGAATTTTCACTGTAGTAATGTAATAAATTAGCCACGGTCAACTTTTTTATAATTTATGCATGCAAATTTCTTATATTTTTGACAACCTTTTGTTAGTCGTGTCTAACCTTACAAATTTTGATAGCGATGCGTGTGAGTTGTGTTTTATAAGTGGAAGCCTGCGTGTTTTGATGGAATTTTTTGTCTATTTTAGCCAGAAAAACATTTGGCGCGCTAGGGCCGAGAAAAAAAGTTGTGTTAGGCGGCCTAAAAATAACGCGAACTGAAGAGCAAAGCAGAAACAGAAAAGTGACGCCGACGTTGCCAGGGCTGCACAAGTCAAACGAAAAAAACCGTATTTAAGTGCTATCGATATATCAAATATAAATTCTAAAAGTTTTCACATATTTGACATATAGTTTCTAATTTTTACCTTGTTTAATTTTTAAATAAAACATAATGGATCTTGGACTTCCTGAGCGCCTTGTATAAATGAAAAACTAATTTGTATTTAATATTGCCATTCCTACACTAGTCACCCAATCAACTCGATTATAACAATGTAAGCTAAGCAAATAGTTTTTTAATGATAAGGGGGTGCGTGTATTCTTCAATCTTTTCTTACTGCTTTTCAGTTTTCAATATATCAAATATCAAAATTAATATACATAAACGAATGGTAACAAATATCGATAGATTTTAACGCTTTCTTGGTAATCTCCACTATCGACTGTCAGTGAATCATCGCCCACCAGTTCGCCGTTATGCAAAACGACAAGCAGAATAAACACGAGTTAGTAACGTGATAACAAAAAAAAAACATCAAATGACAAGACTCTAGAAAGCAGACAGTTTTGGTTGTTCTCTTAAACAGTGCTCTATATCTGTGCGGCAGCATGCATGTGCTGGCTCGAGGATGCGTAGTTGTCTATCAACCACTACTGCAGCATAGCAGGAGATATTTAATGCAACGTACATTCACAGCATTTGCAAGCAGGTCCCCTATTTTACCAAGACCTGATGTAATCGCTTATGGCCGGACGTTTGGAAGACGGCACGCACATGGCAAGGGCGAGGCCAGGCAGGCTAGCACTTTCATGCTTATGCGTTGGAGCAAACTGGTGTGGAGCAAAATGTTTGGCAAATATCTGCTGCTGACCAATGTCCTCGGGTCCGGTGTCCTGATGGCTGTGGGCGATGTTATTGCCCAGGAGTATGAAAAGCATCACGGCCTGAGTCACCAGAATAGCTTTGATGGCGAACGAATCTTTCGTATGTTCGTGGCGGGCGCGGTGCAGGGTCCCCTGCATCATTTCGTATACAATTGGATGGATCGCATCATGCCGCATCGCACATTGAAGAACATCTTCAATAAGATACTCATTGATCAGTTATTCATGTCGCCTGTCTGCATTGTGTTGTTCTTCTATACGGTATGTCTTTTGGAGCGACAAACCCTAAAGGCAACGAATGACGAGCTAATTAGCAAATTTCCCTACATATATCTGATGGATTGGCTAACATGGCCAGCGGCACAATACATTAATTTTCGTTACCTGGACACCAAATATCGTGTCGCCTTTGTCAATGTCTGCACGGCGGTATACAATGTGCTCATGTCGTATATGAAGCACGACTTTGGCGTACCTCTGCCCATCGATAATTCCATTGGATTGTCAACGGGCAAACTGCCCGCCACGCCCACCTCTCAATCGAACGAAAGAGAAACCAAAACATGATTGTAAGAATCTGATAAATTATGTGATATTCAAGTAAATTCTTAGCTACATTTGTTAAGTCATCTGCGTCATTGTTGTTATTATTATTTATTGTACATAAGCAAGAGGCTATTAGCAGAATTCATATTATTATAAATTTAGTAACTTTAGTAATTGACGATGTATTTGTGTATTTTGAAAGATTTAAAATTAATTGTATTTATTAACTATTAACTTGTACCTGGATGAGGCTGCTGTCCTTCCCTTTGAAGGCACTGTGGAGGATTTAGGATCAATGCACAAACTAGTATATAGAAAAGCATCGTTGTGTAACTGTTTAAATATGCATATCATATATATAATATATTTATATGACTGTTGTCATAAATTTAAATGTACTTAAGTGTGTTTATCTAGTGTGTACAATTCATGCAACAAGTCAGCAACAAAAAGTAATATTTAAAATATTTATTGTCTTTTTTTTTTTTAGTATATTAACTATTTATTATTTATTCTTGTAAGGAATAATATTGCAATCTTACTGCCAAGCCAAGTTCTTGTAAAAAATGATATGAATTAAAAGATCAAATATAATTGTTGTGCAATTTTAAAAAATATTCTTTTTTTATTATTATTATCTTTTTGATTATAATTTTATCCTTCTATATTATTGCTCTAGCTTTATATGTACAAAATGCAATATGTTTTAAGTTCTCAGCTCGATTTTCATATAAATAACAATTTCGTATCGGATATATACAATATAGATTCAATTTAAATATTAAATTAACTTCATTCCCTACAACTTACAAACGTTTTTTAGTTTTCATATGGAGCAATGAAGTTAATATGGATAACATTTTCGTATCTGATTGATCACAAGCTCTATTTTCCCCACATATATCTAACATAACTGTTTACAAATAGTTTCCTAGTTGATTATTATAATATTATTATATAGTCCGACTGTACTCATTTGATGACAATAGTCTCCACAGGTGGAGCCATGCCAAAAATGTGCTGCACCAGCGTCAGATGCTCCTGTGTTATGAAATTGGCAACCAACGTCGGCACATGCTCGTTGCAGCGCGCAATCTGCTGACGAATCAGCGATTTGAATTCATCTCGAGCGCCCTTGTCGGCGCCCCGAGTGCCAATGCGACGTGGCTGAGCCGCAGCAGCAGCAGCAGGTGTATTCGCTCCGCCAGAGGCGCTGCTGCTGCCCGTGGGCGAGCCAGTCAACTCAAAGTTGACATCATCCTGCTGCTGAGTATTCCAAATGTATGCCAATTCCTCGATGATGTCCGTGGCAATGATATAGTTCGACAAGATGTGCAAACTAAACGATTTGCGTTGCGTGATCAAATTGAAAATATGTTGCTTAAGTAGAATATCCTTGTCAGGATTCAGTTGCAGCAGTGCCAACAGATCGCCCAGCAGTCGGTCCGAGCAGTTGGGCTCGAAGAGCATGCGACTCAAGCGACTGGTTATGGCGCGCGTGCAATACTGAATGAGTGCGATTTTGGTCAGCGGCAAGAATATCATGTGACGATGGCTCTTCAGGCTGATGTTCTCCAAGAGCTGGCCACTCGTTGCAGGCAATTCAGCGAGTATCTTTAGAATGCACTGAAAGCCCTGCAGCTGCAATTAGATAAAATCATGTAATCACTAAATATTTCTGTATTGGTCTAAAATCCTTTCCCCTACCGTCATGCTGCCCTGCATCAAATTCAGGCTAAGTATTTGCAGGCTCTGCACCAGCGTACTCTGCGTCGTCATGTCGGCCATCAGTTTGTTGGCCTCATCGCGATGGCCAAAGTAAATGGCCAGATCGAAGAGAAAGCGTGATATCCATGGGGCCAATGGAAGTGCTAACATCAGCTGGCTGAAATCCCGCTGGAACTGCTCAGTGTTCAACAGCTGCCAGCAGCGAGCGGCGTGCAGAAAGGCCTCCGACAGCTCTTGACTGATGGCTGTGGTGGCCGAAAATTTGGGCGGTTCCATGCTCTGCACTTCAGCGCCTTCTGGTGTCCAGTCCATGCTCTGCACCTCGCCACCCTCGGGCGTCCAATCAATGAAGCCCTCGACCAACACGTGACTGACTTCTGCATCCTCTATACGCAGCTTCCGTATGTAGCCGTGTAGTGAGTAAATGAACAATGTTGTGGCATAGAATAGCACTTGGGAGCTGCCAGCCGGACTGCTGCGCAATATCTTTACCAGCTTATCCCAGTATACATTTTGATTAACCTGTTTGCTGAAGGGCAGAAACGGCTCCCAGCCCATCATCTGGCCGCACAGCATGAGCACCTTGAATATGTTTTTCCACGCCTCCGTTGTGTCGCACTTCTCATCGTCCATGATCTGCCGCAGATAATACTCCAATGAGTTTGTGTAGAGACGACAAGCGAGCACTGGATTCAGCTCTGGCGGCTTATTCTGAATCAATGGCAGAACCTCCTCCACTAGCATGCGTTGATAAACATCCGGATCAGCTTTCATGCCTTCGGCTAGCATCTCCAGCAGCCGAGGAGCCTGCGTTACTGCCGTTTTCGGAAACTTATTGAACATGAGTATATAGCTATGTATGCACTGCTGTAAATTATCGCCACAATTGCTTATCGTGTGCACGAATATGCTATGCTGCACCTCTGGTGTCAGATGCTTGTACATCTTCACATAGAACTCCTGCTCGGGCGTATTTTCCGTTTCGTTTCGCAGAGCGCTGGTCAAGGCGTTTACCTCTTGCCACAGCTCCGCATGTTGGTTGGTGAAATTTGTGGCGCTGTAAAGGTGAGGACTTTTAGTTTGTATTCCATTTTTGCTTTGTTTACCATTTTACATTATACTAAAATATTGGGCTGCCATCTCGCTGTTCTTGGCATCGCGCTCCAGTAGGTACGCTTCGTACTGTACATTAAATGCGTTTGGATAAAGGGTTTTCGCAGTCAATATCCATGCTTTGGCTGAGCTGGGGTCACTTTTGCGCAAGCTTTGTGCTTGCCTAACCATATACATTTCATTTTCATCAACAGATGTCATTGTTATTGCTATAAAACTAAATTTACAGACGCCGGTAATTAGAGATGTGCAAACTGCGAGAATAAGAAAGGCGAATATGCTGAACCAGTGGCTGAACTGAGATGGGATACAGCGCGTGCGTGAATGCCATCGATATTTTTAGACGGTGTGGATATTTGCATTAAAAAAGAAATTATAAATAAAACCACTGTACAACAGTTCACTTTACAGACATAAAGGATATTCACTTAAAATACATACTCTACGCACAGAATCGATATACAATTAACATTTTCACATATACAATCGATATATGCTGATCACAAAAGCTTTACACATATCGAACTAACCACCGGCAAATAACAATTATTGCTCTATCGATAGTATCGATAGTACAAGGAGATAGGTGGCCTTTAAAAACATTGTAATAAATGTTCTTAAAATGAATTAATATAATGCCATTTAGCGGTCGAAAACAAAAGTGTAATCGTGCGTGACTGAGTTTTTGTTAATAATTGATATCGTTGGACAGTTTCCGGTGATTTGTGAGTGTCATGGTGAAATTGTGAAGTTTTTGTTTTTATTCTTTTGGAAACCTAGACAGCGTTCGGGTGTTAATCAAATGATTTCTCATTTATTCAAATAAACATTTTCTGAAAGTAACGTAATGTCAACCAAATTAGTACGTACATAACGAACAATGACAGACACAAAAGCGAAAAGCCCAGACACTGCAGAAGCGCCAGCAGCAACGTCAGCGTCATCTAGTCGACCCACAGTCAGCACCGCCGAGGCTGACGCATCTGCTGCTGATCGATTGAATAGAGAGACAGGTAAGTAAGGCGCTATGAAGGTGGCCAGCTGATATGGGCATTACGATTCATTAATAATAATTAGTATTATAAAATGTTTACTCATACATACATATGTTTATATGATTTTACGCTTCTATAGATTAGAGATGGTCTCGTGCTGACACGACCAGAAAAGCATTATTATTTAGCGATTCGAAATTAACGTAAAGCAAAAGATCGAACATCTACAATATTTAAGTTTTACTAAATTCATACATACGTTTTTTAATAATAATAATAGTATTTTTAATGATTAATATTAATACCCTTCTCACAAATAATCATAAAATCTTACAATTTTTAGTTTACATTGAAGTACTCCTGCATGATTATTTAAATATTCGAAACTTTGAGCGATTTTAACTGGTAAACAAATATAGGCTTTACTAATAGAGGCGCTTGACGCACAAAGTTTTTGTTTTGAACACGATTATTTTAGATGTTCGATCTAAGTGTTGTAGTAGTTATTTAATAAATATGTAGTTCTTTATTTGTACTTATCTTACTTATTATTTGAATTATTCTGTTCATTTATTATACCCTGAACCTTTTGTAGCTTCGAACATATATGTAGCATATATGTAAAAGGTAGAAGGAGGCGTGGTTGGCTAAATAAAGTGAGCCGTCGAGTCGATTTAGTCTGTTTGTCCGATCTATGTACACTTCGATCTCAGAACCTCTGAAAGCTCGACGCTTGCAAGTTGCAACGATCAAAAGATCTATAACTATTTCATATAATCTAATTAAAATTCATAAGAATAATGTCGTAAGCAATTCAACATATGATAAATTCTTACTATGAGTACGTTTTGAAATTGAACAGGGTTCAGAGTATATTCTAGTCGGGTATATCCGACTATAGCCTTCTTGTTCAATATTTTCAAATTTGTTTTTCAAAAACAAACAGCCAGAACGTTTATTTAGAATTTACTTTCGTCCTGTTTTTTTTTTTTTTTCTTTTGCAATGTATATTTTTGTATAAGCAAATAGTTTCAATTTGATTGCATCGTGATTCAAATCCACAAATTGAAATTCGTTTTGTTTATGTTTACATTAGTCAGCTCGTTAGATTGATATTTTTGTATGTGTGTATGTATATATATATTTCATTAAATGTGTAACTAAAATAGTGTAATTTTTCGCATTCGTCGCACTCGATTATTTCGTGTCACGGCACGCACTTTTGTTAATAATAAGCTTTTGTGGTT